TACTATCATTAAAACAAAAAATTAAGCCACCAAAATTAAATCCTTAATCCACTAATTCTAGGTTATAAACACCTTGTGAGAAATTCAAAATAGGTTGCAAAGAGAAAACTTAAATTATGTATTACAATCTTTTAGTTGAAATGAATAGAAATAACTTGTTTAATTTCTCTAAAAAAATTAACTAGCAATCTTTATCATGTGAAAGTTAATTAATTAAATAATCAAGTACTACAAAATGGTCTCTCTGTGTTTATATATGTTAACAGTGTAGTACAAAAACGAAATGTCGTAATTGGAATTACATATTTAAGGATTGTATATGCCTGGGATGTTACAGCAACTTTTTCGTCTAAATCATTTAACCGAAAGTGCCTGTTTATATCATCGATTTTAAAACTTTTTACAATTTTTTTTCGAAAACGGCTCTAAATTAATTAAATTAAAAAAATCATCGTATAATTAAATTATCTTTAATATCAGGTAGCTCTTATTCTCATTGATGTCATATTCTCATTTAATGCTTCATTTTCGACAGTTCTTCTTCCAACATACCTTTAATTTGGTTTATTTTAAATAATTAGCTGTCTCTCATTGTCACTAGTAATTGAAATTGGCTGAATATGAACTATGAAAGTATATGATCATTGACTAAAGGGGAAGAAAAGTTTTTTCAGTTAGAAAATGAATTTCCAAAAATAATAGAGTATATATCTATATGTTGTTGGAGAGCTGTGGATTTAAGAAAATAATATCTAACATACAAAGGCAAATAAGGACATGGTGACAAATAAAATATAAATAATAATTTCTGATAACTAATATTATTTAGCGGAAACTAAATGTTTCATGGAAGTTAAATGAAATTTCCTAACTAGATTTATACTAATTTTTTTTTGTTTGAAAAAATTACTTATAATGCACCAAGGCAATGGCATTGTTAAAAAAAAACAACTATTTTACCTTATTTGTGTGAAAAATACAAAATATTCATGGAAGAGTAAAGCAAATGTTTATAACCTTAAATACACCTGCTCTAGTTTAATATTAATAAATTTAGATCCAATATTATACTTGAATAATTAGGTATATTAGTACAGTAAATATAGCAAAAACAGAGCCGAAATAAAAACAATTCATAATTGGTTGTAAATGTGGGGATTAGTTCCTCATCTAATGCACCTCAATAGTCCTCTCATTTTCCATGTCTGCTTCCATCCAAAATGGAGGAACAAAGATGGTCACCCAGCTACTTTCTTTCTTATGTTTTTTCTCATATCTCTGTCAAAAACCTTCGTTCTTGAATTCCGGAAGAACTAATATAATCGGCAACGATGCTTGTTTTGAATTTCATCGAAGTTCACTTGATGAAAAAATGATAAACGAGATGTAAATTAATCTATTTGGTGTCAAAAAAGCGAAATTGTTTTTATTATAAATCTTGTCACCCGTCATAACTTTGAATCTATTTACAAATAAGAAATAATGTTTCTTATGTTTTTTATAGTCCTAAGAAAACATTGTTTTTTTTTTAGCATTTGCTGAAAAATTGGGGAGATATGTTATTTTTCAATAAAAAATTCGCGATCTCAAAGCTGAATTCTGTCGCGAACTATTCGTACTGGATAAGTAGTTATATACTAAGAGCTACTGATTGTTTATTTTAACTAAAAAATTTAGAGTTGGTAACCATAATAAATTGTTGATAAAACTCATCTTAACACTCAACTTCGGTTAGTCGGTTGAAAGCCGGTTTCTATACAAACATTTGAATTAAAGGCGCGAAATTTGACGTTTCATTTAACGGAAGAACTGACGACTGAAATTTTGATATGTACTCCTAAAAGAGAATACACCACACCTGGCGATGTACTCGGTTGCATTTTGAAAACTGAAGGCGTCAAAGACATCAATTTACTTCAGTCGAATGGGAGAATGGGAGTTGAATCTGGAAGAAACTAAAATAATCGGTTTCTCTTCGGTTATATATATTTTTTTCGGTGTTAAATCTGAATTAGAGACTCTAAAACGTGTGGACGGGGTAGCCGAATGGACTAACGCGTTGTGCACAGCACCACCGTTGCCCGGCAACCTGATATATGATAATTGTGTTATAAATACAGTCACGAGTTCGCGTCCCGGTGCCAAGGCGTCTTTTAAATCCCCGCCCACACTCCCGACCCAAAAAAAACAAACTCTAAAACGAAATTTTATTGGGTTTTATTAGGATATTAAAGGTTACGTAAAGCAAATCCTAACTCTTTTGAGCAATTGGAATTACCCAAGTGGTCCACTTAAGATTATTTTCTATAGTGTGTATCATGAATTTCTTTTTAAATGTTATAATTATTAAAAATAAAACTTTGAAACGTTTGATAAGTGGTATCTTTTTCGTTAATGATTCATTGATAAAAATGTATTTAAGGCGTTATCATTAGTCTTATTTTTTCCAGAAATTAATAGACTATTGCATTGTATGGAAAATGTTCAGAGGGATGTGAGAGAGTTGGACAGGATCGGGACAAGATAGCTTCAATTCGGTAAGTAGGATTGTTTTACATTCTGAATGATACGATGAAAGTTCTGGCTGATTTCAGCACGTCCAAGCGGTTTTCACGTGTTTTTTTTTTGTTATGGTGTTGAGTGCTCAACTGAATATTATTTTTAAACGCGCCAACATAGTTCGATAGCAGAGTCATCTATGGCCCGTCACAGGAGGAGCATCTTTCGCAGCAAATGAACAACACAGGTCTCAACCAGAATCCTTCCTAGGACCTAGACCAGGGTTGCCAAAGAATAACCTAGCAAGAAAAATAGGCTCCTTTGTTTGTGAGAGGATTCTGGAGAAGAGGTACAACCAGAGGTTAACCGCAGTATACGGATGAGGCTGATATTGTCATCTCCTCCAAGTTTATCCCAAATAAAATGGCTGGGCCATGTGGAGAGGACGCCGGAGGGAAGAGTGCCAAGGAAAGTGATGTATGAACAACCTGGAGGAGGAAGGAGAGGCAGGTGGATAGATGACGTTGAGACCACGGGCGGATCTACGGGGGGGAGGGCTTTCGGGCTGAAGCCTCCCCCCTCCAAAATGGTAAAATATAGCCATGTTTTATCGAAAAAAATATAAAAAAAGTATCTCTTAAAGTATTATTGTTTGTGTAATTACATTTAAAGGGGCTTTAGGAATCACTAAAACACCATTTCGTACAGGTAGTTAGTTTCTTTCATCTTTTCCAAAGTAATTATCGTTATTTTTATGAAAAAAACCGCTTTCGGGCTGAAGCCCCCCTCCCCCCAAAATTAAATCCTGGATCCGCTAGTGGTTGAGACGGATCTGAGACGACTTGGTGTCAGTCGGTGGAGAGCTCCCGTAGTGGATGGAACGGATTGGCGAAGAATCGTGGATGAGGCCCAGCTGTCGTAGCAGTGAGGTTTAGCTATAGTTCTGAAAGTCTTTTATTGAAAAGTGTCAAATTTTATACTATAGAATGAGAACAAATAATTTTTCATAGAAACTAAATTGAATTTCTGGAGAAAATGCATCTATTTATTTTTTTATTGATAAACCAAATCATATGCCTACAGAAAAGAATTGTTAAAATGTATAATAAATATCATACTTGTATTTATAATTAAAGTAAGCTTACTAGGTTTATTAACTTAAAAAAACAATAGTTTTTACAGAAATATTATAGTGAAACCAGTTATGCATAGGAGGCACATTGATGGGCAGGTTGGACTTTAAATGTAAATAATAAGATTCCTTGTTGATTTCAAGGTTCTAGTTTTTTTCTAGATTGAAGAATAATGTCTTATTTTCTTCTGTTGACAACTGCATGAATAAAGTTCCCAAAAGATAAGTTTAAAATGTCCATCATTGTTGTTTCTGTTGTGCTCTTGAGATCAGTGTGTTTCATACCTTCCTTCTAACAGTTTTTCTAAGGGTAAGTTGAACATTTATCCTATCTTATCTTTGTAGTTAAATAAAGGTTTTAGAATTTTTCTTAGGTATGTCCATTACCGGTACCGACCTCCTGTCCATTATTAGACCAATTGAATTTCGGAGTGTCTATCACTATTGCAAAAAGGTGTTTTTTTTTTAATGGAGATTATACCTGCATAACTGATTATTTTTTCAATTTTAAAGTGTTAAATAGAAATAGGAGACTCTAGAGATTCTAAACGTCAAACGGAGAAGTTTATAACTATAATAATAACAATGGCATAAGCCAAGAAACAAACAATTCCTTAGTCATGTCCATCACTGGTGTGTCATGATATCAGCCTTTTTTTAAATTCAATAATAATAATAAATTATAAAATTCGATTTACAATCGTTGTTAATATTCCCAGGCTTCTTATTTATGATCGTGTATTAAAGTTGGAAAAACATTACATTTAGATATCTTCGGTTTAAAGCAAAAGTCGTTCAAGTGGCATTTTATAATCTTAAATCACTAAGAAATTTGATGAATTTTCTATTTATGATATCAAAAAATTGTACGTTCATTGTTATTATATTTTGTTTTTAAAACGGTTTGTGTCATTTTATTTGACTTTCTGTGTTTTTTATCGATAAATAAAGTGGAAGTTCACGAAAACGTTTTTAAAAAATCACCTTCATCAAAAACGTACTGTTACTTTGCAATATACCGATAATATAAAAGGCAAATAAAACTATTAAGGTCAATCCGAATTATTGTGTTTATATTTAAGAAAATAAAAGTGAAGTTATTCAATCAGAAATGTGTATCGAATGAAGTGTAAATTATGACAAGTGGTCGTTGGATTGGATTGATTGATAACTTGTTTATTACAAGGTTTATAATAAATTGTTTAATAATATATTTACGATCGTATTCTGTTTTTTTATTTTTGGTAGATCCTGTCAGTGCTGTCTGTTTGACGATGAATTAACACGAATCTGCAATACTAATACTCTATTCAAATTGAAGACAGAGAATATGATAAGATAAAACTAAAGAGCGTTGTGCTCAGTACGAATGTCGGCAATGAAGACAAGAACATGGTTCTGCAACAACCTCTCGGCGGAACCCGCGGTGTTACTCTATTCCTTCGTTATATTCCTATACGCCGCAGGGATGCCGAATCTTATTCAACAGAAAGTTTGCAGCCCTGATTCGCCACCGCCGGTTGATTTCGTCTGCAACGACACAGCACTAGTGGCTCAAGCGACAGGTGAGATTTTTACACATAACTATTTTTATTTAAAAGTGATTATTATTGTTAAAAGTCTGACTTGATGCCAGGACAAGGTAAGGATTCACTATGGCTTAGGTGGGAGAATCTTTTCAGCATCAGAGGCCGCAGTAAAGTTAGGCAGTGCTAGTGTTTCCCAAATGCGAGACCGAGACGAGTCTTGGTCTTGCCAACTCAATCTTGGTCATGGTCTTGGTCTTGCGCATGAGTTTCGCAACAGTCTTGCAGTTACTTCTTAGCTTATCACCATAGAGATATTATTGTAGTTTTTTAGATAGGAGAAACCCAACTAAGCCCGAATGAATGAGTTAAATATAAAAGTATATTGGTTATACCAATTATTAACATATAGTGACTAAGATTGTCAAGTTTTAGTAACTATTTTGCCTTAATATTTATTTAAAAAATCGATTTTTTTAAACCAATCCTGGTCTTGGTCTTGCGGGAGTTAGGTGTTGACTGATTTTGGGCAACACTAGGCAGTGCTAGTGGAGGCCGCAATAATCCTTTATATTTTACTGTTATTATTTGTATTTTTCACTAAATACACACACTCACATACATACATTCAACTTAATTCTATTAATTTCCAATTGTTGTTACTTAACTAATTAAATACTAATTAATTTTAGCACTAGATTAATAAATATAGTGCAAAACGTTTGGAGGACGCAAGAACGTCACAGAGGCCGTGGTTCCTTACCTGTGCACTATGCGATTTGAATTTCTGTGGCCCTCATCCCTTTTCAATTAACTGTTCCATAAGCGAAAATGTGTTTACTCGATGATGTAAGGTGCCATTTCCGGTTAGCCGATTTTGTCGAAAAAGCTGCTGTAACATCTCAGGTACACAAAAACCTTAGATATTCAATTTCACTTATACATACACACACACACACACAGACTATTTTGCGGGATTTGATTATTTGGACTCAGGAGAACTCAAAATACGTATTTCCGTTGAAAACTCAGATTAGTAAATTTTCACGATCGCAATACTGTCCCTTACTATATATTTTATATATAGGTAGGTGAATGTAAAAATAGAGGAACAATAAAGTAAATCACGCCAGAATTAGAAGACAAGAAAATGTTCTTCAAGTATTATTTTTTTAATTTAATTGTTTTTACTTTCACTTAATATTTTAATATTTATAATATATTTTAAATAAATAATAAATAAGAAAGTATTGCGATAGTGAAATTTTTTGAATCCGAGCTTTTAACGAAAACGCACATTTTGAGATTCCTTAAGTCCAAAAAAATGGGTGTGTGTGTCTAAAACTGAAAGTCGTTCAAATCTGAAATGACCTGTTTCACGTAGGTATATGCCTGGAATTTTACAGCGAATTTTTTGTCCAAATCAGCTAACCCTGTATGGCACTGTATATAATCGAATTTTAGTTTGGAGATTTAAGATTTTACAAGATTTGTAGAATCAAGTCGTAAATTGAATAAAAAACAATTCATCTGTCAGCTTTACTCATTGAACTCATCTGAGATTTGGTTTCAATGTCAGAGGTCACCCGAGGATGATCTTCGGAAATTGACATTAATGGCTGCCGAAAAACGTGTGTTGTGCCAAAACGTCTGTAAAGATTTTAATTAAACTAACCTAAATAAAGCCTTCTCTTTGAAGCTATTTATTTAAATGTATGTATATAACATGAATGAAGAATTTTATTTTCGAATAATTAAACAAAAAATACATTTCTTTGTTGGTTTCTGTGGATGCTCATTAAAAAGTTAATGCAATTCCTTAAAAACCAGAAATAATAAAAAAAATTATTGCCTATATAGAAATTGCTTAAATAATTTAAGCGGTTTAATATTAACAAACAATTTTTGTATTTTATTTTTCTCCGACTTGGCAAGGAAAGTAGTATAAACATGAATACATATTTGATATATAACTATTTGAAAATAATAAGCCATTGTGTAATAATTAGTGGCGATTTTATCATTATGATTTCTTTATATATATTTTTGTTTATTTAGAAATATTACATTCTGTCACATCAAGGACATTTATAATAGTGTTCAGAGAAAGCACACTCACACTCTATTTACAATAAAAAAAATAAAAAAAATAATACAGAAACTTAATAATAATAAATACAATAAAATAAAATAAAAATAAATACAATAGAATAAAATAAATTTAAAATAAAATAAATAACTAAATAAATTATTATGATTTCAGGCACAATTTTTATTTATTTGTTTTTATTTATTATTCATTCAAAAAAATCTATTTTCGCTATTATTTATTATCTCTTTTGGCTAACATTTGTTATTTGATAAAATTTGTCAGGGATCTGCTATTTTTGTACAATAACTCCCTATCTCATTTATCTAGCATCATATCTTATTTATCATGTCAATAAAAAAAGATATGAGTAACACTAACATAATTGTAAGAATTTATTATTAATAATAGAAATCTTTTATAAACTATGTTGACTTTCTCTCGGAATTTAATTATTCACCTTGGTCGAAACTTGTTGAAACAAACCGAATCTTTTTTCAAATTACTATTTTTCTTTTGTTTGCTATATTTATTCCTATATTTCTTCTGTATTGTATTTTACATTTTATTTCACAAGATAAATAAAAATAATTAGTAATCGTTCAGATTGTTTAATTTTATGATTAACATCTATTATAACAAAACAAATCCACATTATTGCTTCTGGTAAGTTTATCTCGAGAGTTGGTGCGTGCCAACATCCGAAAGGATATAGAGTTTCGTTTGGTGACGAAAAACATCTGACTACTAGACCGAATTTTAATATTCATAGAAGTCAATTTCAATAACAATAGTCCATTCTGTTTTAGTAGATGTGCAAATAGATTCCATTGGGATTGATAGTTATTTTCTTTGTAGTTTTTTATTCTTTTTTAATTCCCATCATAGTTGCTATATTATTGTAATTATATTGTTAGCACCGAATCGGATTGCTGTTAAAAATACCATTGTAGCTACAAAAAATTAATTGGCACACAAATTCAAGTTAAACAAAATAATTTATGTCTTCTTTAAATAGTTTAAATCATACCGTATTCGTAAAAATCTTGTTAGTATAAAGTTATTGAACTGAAGACCATTATTGCCAAGACATTTTTTCAGAGACTTTTGATTTCTCGTTTCAGGTTTATTTAGTTATTCAGATACTCCTAATGAGTTAGAAATGGCGTGTATCTCGAGAGTGTGTGTAGCTGCATGCGTGCGCGTGTATGAGTATGTAAATAATTCAATGAAGTAAGTTTGACAATCAGAGATTGGAAGCTAGATAGCACGATAAAAAAAACAACAATCTGTTTTCTTATCGCGTTGACTGATCACATTCTTTATTTGATTAGGATACTTCCTTCCTACGTAGATGTTTTTTCTATTCTAAATAGACAATACGAAATCAAAACAGACCTATGCGAGCCTCTTCGTCCATGATGCAACTGCATTCGATTTCAAATTACTACATCCAGCTGAATTATTTATGTTCAATTTTTTGAACACGATTAAGCGTCCACGTTCGACCCTTCACTTAGCACGTGAAGAATGCAATTTTATCTTTAATGATTCATAAGTAAAAAATGATAAGTCTATGAAGAACAGCGAGCAATAGATGATCAAACCTTTTATGAATGAAATAGGAAATAAGACCACGGATCCCACGCCGTTAGAAAATTTTAAATTATTTTGATTTGCATTATAGATATTTTAGTTTTGTTTTAAAGAAAGAAAAATTTCATAAAATAAGGTTATAATACTTCTTTTGGTACTTTTTGTCTAAGCGGCCGCTACTCACTGCTATCTGGCAATGTTTATAACCTGAACACTGATAACTCCCATAACAAATTATTTTAAGTTAATTATTCACTTCCTTTTGTCTTATTTATCTTGGAAAAAAATGAAAAATAAACACCAAGGGGTCACAAACTAAAAAAAAATGTAAAATAAACACAAACGGGCCAAAAACTAAAAATAAACACAAACGGGCCAAAAGTAAACAATTTAATAAGTGAACGTAATAAGGGAATAACTGAAAACTAAACAATGCAATAACTCAAAAGTTTGGCGGGATAAGAAGAGGGAGGTTATGTAACATGATGACATGACGTTAGATAAGATAGATAAGAAGTGAGGTTTCAAAACGGCCCCTTAGACTAAAAGTACCCTTCTTTTTATCGGATTGCTACAATAACAAGTCGGTAACAATAAAACTAATTGCCAATAAATGATGTCAAAACTGTAATTAATAATTAAGGAGCGGAAGAGACCGCAGGATAGGTTTTTTTTATTAACTAAGTAATAATTTTATTTTAAAAATAACAAAATGTGTTGTTAATTAGGGGATTTTCTTAATGTTTGGAAATTTCTGTTTGTGGAGTTATTTAATTAATAAACCCCCTCCCCCTCCTCCCAAGATATTTTATTGGTCACCTTATCTTAAACCATAGAAAACCGTAGATCATATACAATTACAATTGCTGATATCTGTTCCATGTTTTCCCTTGTCCCTTAGTTGTAAAATTCATAACCTCATCGAAATTTGCCCCTCTCAAAAATTCAAAACCCTATACCCTCCTCATAAATTTTGATGGCACAACTTGTACTATGAAACCCCCTTCTGGGCATCCTTGAGCTGAAGGCACAAGCAAAATGGGATACATTTGAAATTTTTTATGTCACTATTTGTACCATAGGACTTGTGGGTAATCTCATGATGTCTTTGGTGCGTTAAGTGAAATCTAGGGCTTATCCACTGTGCAGTCTCTATGTGGTTTCTAAGCATTAAACAAATATGCATTTCTATGATTATTAGTTATGTATTGAAATTGATTTTTCAATTATTGTTTTGTTTGTTATCTTTTTTAAATCAATACAGCACAATGTAATTTATATAAGTTTGTGTTGTAAATTTAATTATCTAAAAATATTTTCTCTGCACACTGACATACAATAACCAACAATCCTTGTTTATTAATTTTATCCTGGTTTTTATAATAAACTTCTCGGACCTAACAAACAGACTGATAAACGATATGACTACAGATTTCATGTATATTAGGGGGCTAATAAAAAGGAGTTGGATCAGAGAACCCCTTTCCAAAATTAAGGAATTGGATTGAGATCAGAAAGAAATGCTGCTGGGTATTATTCTACTCTATGCTTACCATACCTTAATTATAATTCTTTCTACTGCATTTGTTGATTGCCACTATGATACATGACAGGTACGAATAAAGAGACGGAGTGAACAAAGTATTTAGTATAAAACTATAATAAACATAATTTGTATACCATAATTTGTTACAGATATAGTTACCGTTCGATCAACACTTAAGCAATCTCTACCAGCAATAATTCTACTCATTGCTGGCTCCTGGAGGGATTCAACAAACCTGAATAAACCCATAATATATTTGGCCTTATTTTGGGAAATAGTTGGAATTTGCATCCAGATCTTTTCTTACTTAAGCTGGACCAGTTCCCCTTGGAAAACTTCCATTGCCGAAGGAATTATCAATGGCCTTGGAGGTGGCAGCACCTTGTTCTTTGTTGGGACTACTTGTGCTATCACTGACAGTACCCAAGCTGAGGATAGGACGACACGGTATGTGCCTTATCATATTGATATGTATATTATGCATTTTTATCTAAATATGAATAAAAATGAATATTTTTCTTTTTTCCAAGAATGCAGTGTATAATCAAGCAGCTCACCTGACAACAAATGCTATGTCAAAAGATTGAACGCTGGTTTCTTTGCAATACATCTTTCTTAAGCTATAGTTCGTTTATATATGAGAACTGAGTGATCCAATATAAGGAAATTGATCGTCACCGGCTAACTTAGACCGTCAAGATAAAATACTGCTTGTAATTAATTTTACAGCCCAATCTGCCATCGAGTTACTGACATGATCCTTCTTTTTGTTTCTGCAGATACATTATTACCATTTATGGATTCAGTAACTTGTTCAAACAAGTAATGACCAAAAGTCACCTTCACTCCAGCTTGATTCCTGGGTTCTTTTTCTGGATCCATATAATTGGTCTTACTTTCATTTATCAAATTTAAGCCTCTTGAATTCTTCTGACAAAGCAAATTTGAGCATCCCATAATGATAATGGTCTGCATATGCAAGTAATTGGAATGTTCCAATGAAAAAATAATGAAAGTGTGGAGATCATTTGGAATGCCTTGAGAAATCACAGTGAAACATTACCCAATAATATTGAAGAAGTTTGAGTTAAGCCAGTTGTCTTTTTGTTCTGTCACAGTAATTGAGCATTATTTTAGAGAAAAAAATAAGCTTATCACTTGCTACTTACTAGAGAAAGTTATTTTTCTTATTAAACAAAACAAGACTTTTTTTAAAGTAAATAAAACAACTTTAGATTATTTTTTTCATTGGCCATGGCACCCCTTGAAAGCATGGGCAATGCACTCATAAGCAACTGCCTATATAGATAATCCGGCAAAGCCTTTAATGGAACTGCATAAATAAAACATACAATCAGCTGTACATGTACATCTTCTGAGGCAAAATTGTATAATGGGAGATTAAAGAAGTCAAGAGGAGAAAAAACTTTCAATACCAGAGAAAAATACTGGTGGGGAGAATTAATCATTAAGCTGGTCCTTTGTGTCAAACCTTGATGGCTAACTTCAGGTTGCCATCATGTTCTTACCAAAGTGGAGTATCAATATTTATTTCTTGGGACCACATTTAAATAAAAATTAATTATCTCAATGCGGAAATCAAACCCACAACGTTTAGAACAGTGCACTCTAGACCCTGGGCCCAAAGTGCTCTACAATCACTTCCTTAATTATTTTGTATTTTTTTTTTTTTAGTTATTGCTTTGTATATTATTAAGAAAACTCTTCCCATTATTTACTTGCAGCATTAAGAAAGCCTTACTAAAGACATTGAATCTATGTCTTTAGGATTATATACCTATATTATATTATCATTTCAATTACTAACAATTTTATTTATTAATGGTATTTTATTTTAGTTTCACACTTGTTTTTGCTGGAGTATCTTTTGGAGCCTGCTTAGCTTTTGGCGTTTCTGGATATTGTCTAACATATATGGGTTATACATGGTTCTTAATTTTTACTATCAGTCTCCACTTAGCTACTGGAGTGCTGATCATGATATTTGTCAAGGATAAAAAGAACAAGGAGAAGAAAGGAGACTTTACCAAAATGTTAAATCAGCTCAAATCTGCTGTTAAAAGAAGACCTAACATCATAATAATTTGGTTTATGATTTTTGCTTCTTGTTCAATCACTGTTATATCATTAGGCAAGTGCATGATATATTTGATATTTTAAATGAGGATCATTAGTATTTAATGATGTTTATTCTCAAAACCCTTGAATGAAACATTTAGTATTGTAGAAATTCAGTATTAAATGATGTAACTATCAAATGTTACTAATCCTACACATTTAATATTTAATGTTACAAAAAAATCTATTTTTTTAATTAAATTTCAGAGAGAGAAAATTTTAATTAAAGTATAAAATAAAGTAAAAGCAATTTATTATTATGTTACAACTCATTTTCATTTTCTTCTTCAATGGTTTATATTAATTTAGTTGCTCTGTTGGGCAGTTGAACATTAATTAATAAAACTTGAAAAATCATTTAGCCCACATTTTATATAAGAATAGATTTTATTTCCACAAAATTGTTTTTTAAAAATTTATTTATTCTATAGTTAATGCATAAATTACATATATAATTTATTTGTTCGATTTTCTTTTAAAATAATGAATTGTAGCAATTCTAAATCTTAATAGCTCTGCATTTTCTTCTTAGCGGAGTCAAATATTTACCAATATTATCTCCAGCAAACGTTTGGTTACACAATTAAGGAAGTAGGACTTTATACTGCTTATCGATTAATGATTGGCTCTGTAGGTAAGTAAGGAAACGTATGAAACTATTCTGCCAAAATAATGCTGTAGAAACTATCAACATTGATGACTAAAACACAATTTTAGGGTCTATCATAGTACCTCCTGTCGTTGTGAAGTTACTAAAATGGTCAGATTTCAAAATTGGAATTTTGTGTTCATTGGTAACAACTATTTCATGTATTTCAATGGTTTTTGCGGCGACAACATTTGAAATAAAAATATGTAAGTTAAGAAAATGATACATGTACATGAAAACACGTAATCATTTACGATTATTAATTTTTTTTATTTTAGTTGCTTTATTAGATATTACAAAAATGTTTCTTTTTGGACTTCCTAAGTCAATCATTTCAAAATGTGTGAATGAGGATGAAATTGGTAAGTAGCTTTTGAATCTCTTAGTTAATACAAATATGATATATTAAAATAATAAAATGAAACTTTTATGTTGTATTTAATTGTTTCTAGGTATGTTTGTTAGCTTTTGTCTTATTGGAGAGAGCATTTTACCAATTTTTATTTTTTATCTTTATGATGTCATATACACTGCCACCTCTACAATGCTACCTGGTGCATTCTACTTGGCAAGTGCTGCAATCCTTACGATCTTATTTATATTCTATAGGTATTCTGAACACTTTTTACAAAACATTTAATAATACAGTGTACAATATTTATGTCTTGCATGATTAAATTAAATAGTAAATAAGAGTAAAAAAATAAAAGAATTAATATGGTTGGAAAGTTTTAAGATGTAGTAATAGTGAAAATATGTATAATTATATTTTTTGTTTCACTGTTACTGCAACTCCCTACCAACTTCCCAACTATATTGTTTACATTCAACTATTTCTTCAAGATTTTAAAACAATAAATAATGTTTTTACCACTTATAAATACATTTTTCTTTCTTATTGTTAATATGGGGAAAATTGTATAGTTTTTTCCTTGAATATACTATTAAAATCATAACTTATTCTCAAAATTATATTTAAAACTAAATTAAACAAAGTAATTCCATGAAATTCACAATTAACAATTATAAAATATTTAACAGATTGTTGAATAGCAACAACACATATCTAGAGCTGCTAAAATACTTGAGGTTAGCATCTTAATAAAATAATATTTGAGTAATCACAGACATGCTTAGATTTAAAGTTTGGATGCTCCTAGGACAAACAGATTTAGCCTCTCTTCATACAATTGGAACAATTTTCCTCAATAAAACAATCTAGTAATAAGAAGATTTAGACTGTATGTATTTCATCATTTGTATATTAATTTGTGTTACTCTGGCTATGTTTTGGCTTATAACGCCATTTTAAAGCCATTCATTTATGTTGTATCCTACTACTGCATAATTGGTTTACAATCTATACAATAATCATCCAACTATGGAGAAGTTGGATACAACATAAATGATTGGCTTGACAATTGCATTACAACCCAAAACGTTGCTATAGTAACAAAAATTAATCAAGAAATGGTGAAATACATACAACTTAAATCTTTTTATTACTAATTGTTATTTCATCTTGAACAAAAGGGAGGACTACAATAATATTGCATGGCTGCTCAACTCTGTTGAGTTGATAAATCATACAGCAAACTCAATCAATCAAAATATAATATTAAAAAAAAAATAGAAAGAGTTAGGTAGGACCATTGTAATAACTAATATGTCAAGATCAGTTTATAGAACCGAATAAGTAAAAGCCAAGATCAATATACGTAGTGATGGAGGATTCCTAACAAGCCTAAAATAATAGTTTCTGTCATGGTCTGCTCTGCTCTCTTCCAACACCCAGACTCTCCGATTAAGAGAGATGGTTCCCCCACTTCAGAAACACAGCCCTTTAACTGAGAATTTTTTCTCACCAAATTCATCTCCATACTTTTTCTTTAAATAAGGTATGCATTTGTTATAGATATCCTCTTTCTCTGCCTGTATATACCAAAAAATATAAGAAAAAACAAACAGCATAGCGCCAATGACCATTTTAGGGTAGAGATGAAATCAAATAAATCAATAATATAAAATAATCTAATAGTCCATAGAAAAAAATCTAATAATTATGTAAATCAATAAACTGTATAAATATAGATTTAACAAAGACTTTTCTACACCCTTACGTCCAGAACTACAGGTCTTGGCTACCCCATTCTTCTAGGCTATATTAATAAAGGTGTTTACTAATTCTTCTATTTTCAAAAATCTTATTCTTAACCCATATTTCAAATAAATGACCCACATCTACCAAAATAGTATTATTTTTAGATCTTTACCCTCATCTATGATTTTGTTAGAAAAAATTATTATCTAGCATGTGTCAAATTGACTTCAATTTATTAATGCTAAACCTTTGTATCAAGAATTAATGCTTTAAAATATTAAATAATTACTGAAACAATCCTTGGAAAGTATTTGAATACATTTGTTTTTTAAAATAAGCTATTTCATATAGTTTTTTCAACTAAGTATTGAATAATTGGAATATTACATTATTGTGCAGACAACAAAAAAATGTTTTTAAAACAATTTTGATTGCTGTTCAATTGCTTTGTATTTCCGCTACCATTTTATATATATTTTTTCTAATCTGTTAATATTTTCAGCATCTCGGCTTGTACCTATATTCCTCTTGAAACTTATGAAGGAAACAAAAATGTTCCAGAGGTTTTAGAAAATTGTGGAAACATGTCACAGCAACTTCAAACATCCACTAGTCCTCCTGGGAATGATTAATTTTTTTAAATAAAAAATTTAAAAAATAGTTTTATTTATCATCTCTATTTTCCCATGACCTTGTAAGTAATATAATAAATATGAATTCAAAAATACACTAATTATTTATAAACAAAATTAAATAATTTTTTTCTGAATATTTATCATTCGAAGTGATAATACAACTGTTTTTTTATTCAGATTTATTTTATAGAAATTAATCCTTATTTATAAGTGAGTATTTTCAATCCTCATATTTACAATTAAAATAAAGAAGCCTACTGAAAAACTTTTTGTTATATAGGAAGTGGTAATTAAAAAAATATTTAATTTGAGTAATTAAAGTTTGCCTGCCAGTGAACTAGACAAAATTTACTTCAAATGAAATGGAGTTTGTCATTGTTAAAGTTATTTAAAAATGACTTTTGAGTAGCTAAACTAAGATAAGTTCTATTTTTAAAAAAATCATAATTATTCATTGTTGTTTTTTTTATCAACTTCTCACTACACTCCATATATCATCTAAAGTCGTTACGAAACTCTGTTTTTTTACCAAGATCTTCATTATAGGAACTGATCCATATTTATAAATGACATATTGCTACTGTTAGTGTCAAAGGTCGTATGTAAAAATTGAGTTTTTTTACAGGAGAGCATAAAAACCTATTATTTCTTCGCAATTCATTAGTATAATTTCATATTTTATTTTAGACAAAATGTCTTATATTTTATTTTATAAATATTTTAGACAATAAACATGTAAAATGGTTACATACACCCTTTTGCGTTAACAGTAGCGATATGTAAAGTACATTGTAATAATTCAAAATGAGAACATATTGTGATGATTCAACTATAAGTATTGGGGAGAAGGGAGGAGGAGGGGGAAGGAGAGGTGTGATATCGTCCTCCTGCCTCTGGATGACCAACCAAACAATCACATAGCCTCCAGATGCCAGTATTACCAATAGTGATTCATGATGCGGCCAGCACTAAGCCAGGTCAACGCAAATGGCCTTTCTCAAGGCCATGAAAAGTTTATGTTAAAGGCCATTTTTTGGAATGCCGGTGATCCTACCAGTGAAAAGTACACCGAATTGAAACATTTTATGTCTTCAAACAAAATTGATCTATTCTGCATTGTTGAGGCAGACGCTGCTGCTGACGGTCTGGAATGCTTCAGGTATCCAGATTTTCAGATTTATTATACTGGTTCCAAGAGCTAGGCAGATAACAACAGGGATACTTGTTGGTATAAGGTCTTCTTTCGTGAAGTTCTAAATTAAAAGGAAATGGATGCAAAAGGTAAATTGGAAGGAGTGGAAATCAATCTAAGGTCAAGCAATCTCTACCATCAAATATTTGTTGGACCCAGAGTTTTGGGAAAAATACGAAACCCCGACTCAACGGCTCAAGACACAAGAGTCATTCATGCTAAAGGCAAAGGCATGGTTGAAGAAAGAGCGCTTGACTGTGAAGAAAGGGAAACATTTATACAACAGTTTCCAGTTGTCCTCATGCAAGTAAGATGGAGCTGCAACTCCTTCATAAGCTGGATAAAAAAGAAACACCAGACTATGAGCTAAAAGCAATAGCACTAGAAACTATAGCTCAAAAGTATCCTCCTCAGGAATGGCTTCACATTTATACCGATGGATCAGCTGAATCAGCTGTCAAAAATGCTGGGGCAGGGGTTTACTCAAGAGAGTTTCAGTTCAGTGCTGCAATGAGTGAGGATGGTACGAATTTCGACAGTGGGATAATAGCGATCCTCATCTCCTCGATCCTCTAAGAACACTATCAACACTAAGAACACTGGAAGGCAAGTTCAGAGCACTCTTCTCTTTGTCGACTCTCAAGCAGCTTTCCTCACTATTACTAACATGAATGAAAGTTTATCAAGTGCTGTCTTGGAACACAAATCCTTCCTCTATGACATAAAACTCCTATGCACCAATGTGGTCCTACAGTGGTTTCCAAGCCATTGCGGGAATGCAGGAAATGAGGAAGCAGATAGTCTTGCCAAGAGAAGAGCAGAATTACCTCAACCAGTCCATCCAAAATCTTATAATTCAATTCAGCAAATGGTGAGGATGGTGAGGATGGTAGTGAAGAAGGAAATGAAAAAAATACACAGAGACAAGGTGAAAGGAATGTTTGATGGAAAACCCTGATCCCAGCTGATTTACCAAGAAAAGATGCAGTAGCCTACTTTTACATGGCCACTGTTCACAACTGTCTATAAAGTCATCTTCACTAGATAGGCATGGCTGAGGATACTAAGTCTAAACTATGTTATCAAGGAAGAATGGATACAGACCACCTAGACACATGTGCTGCTTTAATGGAAAATAAAAAGATATTTTTAAATGAATAAATGAAAAACTCTAATATATACTGGGCAGCAAGATCCCGGATGGTCGAAAGACTTCCATTGAAGTTCTATACGGAAAAGGATATTAAAGGAATAGAATATTGTTGATCTTTGACCAAAAATTATTTATATGATAAGTATTAATTTGGTACCAAATACCATAAAAAATGTGACTAAAAAAATGTTATAACATTCAGAACTTAAATAATACATACCTAAGCATATAAATAGCACAACCCACTTACTGAATCTGGGTCTCAAAGAAATACTTCCTGCAAAAGATTATGTACAGAGGCACTGAAAATATTATTATAAAATTATATTATATTAGTGGAGCTGAACATTTATGTATATTTTTATAAATTTTGACCTTATACAGCTATGTAAAAACCCAATATGTACATTTAAATGAGATCAAACCTTTAATACGTAAAAAATAGGTGAGTGTAAAATGTGTAAAGTCTATGGACCGATGATATCGTTATGATGAAAGAAACTAATTAAAAATTAAATATATTTACAAGAAATAGATAATTGTTAATAAAAGTAAATTAATGGCAGTCTTTAATTACTTACTTTTTTATGTACTTTATATTATTTTGAATATTTTAAAATAATTTGTTCCAATTAAAATTATAAACAAATTTATAATTTATGTACAGGTGTGTATAATAGTTATTTAAAAATGGATAACAATATTATCCGTTATTGTATATAGCATTAATTCTCATGAATCTATAAATTGTATATTTTGTTTCTGTTTTTAACATTTAATAAATAAATTATTTGTAATCTGGAAGTTTTCAATGCCAATATTGAAGTTAAGAATGCATTTGTCAATGAGACCTTTTATCATTCTTGATAAATGGTTTTTTATTATAATATCTTGGATTAGATATGTCAAACAATTTTAAACATTCTTTAATCTGATGATCAATACAGGCACAGAAAAAAAAACAAACTGTAGTTGAATTGAATTGAAAAAAAATATCCCGATATATAACCAATGTGATATATCTTAAATACTTGACATTCACAATTTAAATTATATGTATACGAAAATTGTTATTGTTGTCAGACCTCTCTAATGCTTCCTATGTTAGCCATGGCTCAGCATTCTTTAATAAAGTAAATTATATAAAAAAAAATTTATATTCAAACTGAAAATAAAAAACAACAACAAATTAAAATTTTCGGTATAAGCTGATCATAATTTTTTTTTTTTTTGTTAAAATTTTGTCCTGTAAGACCTGTAAAATTATAAGACTTTATAACTGCCCATTATTCAGGAACAGTTTGAAACAAACTTTAGAGAGTTTGAAAAAAGGTTCTTAAAGCTAAGTGATTTTATTAAATTAAGTGTTCCCAGGTGTATTGTTATCAGTAATCCTCAATTTTGGTTGTTATTTTGTAATAAATTTACTCTAATTTTCAGAGAAAATGTAAAATATCGGACTAATGTAAACTGAAGAGTAAATACAGAGCTTTAGAACGAAATATAGTTTCTCTAATAGACTAATTTATTTATTATTTTTCTTTTTTTAATACATTTTCCTTAACATATTTTGAAAATTAAATGTTTGGATTGTAAATTTATGTCATTATGATCTTCCAAACTTCAGATGTAAATTAATATAGTTTCAAGGTATTCAGTTGTTTTATTCAGTTCCTAAGAATAATTGAACGAGAAAACGAGCACATGTTGATTACGAATTTAGAATTATCAAAAAAATATTTATTCAAAGGCACATCTCCAACTCCCCTTGTAGGATCACAATACTCAGTAAAGGAACATTTTATTCTTGTTAGGGATCGTCACAAATTAAAAGTAATAATCAAGTATGGTACCTTAAAAAGAAAATTTAGTTATTTAACAAGGACCCATTATGACTTATTTAAAACATTTTCAAATATTCCAATCTTTCAAAATATGAGAATCCCTATTAGTTGTCTCAAACTTTGGTAAATCTAAAAATACAATACTGTCTGAAACTAAACTCTGTATACACATTCAATACAATCACTTGCTAATGTAACAGCATCATATGTTCTTGGCTCACCCTCCAATTTTTGCCCTAGGATGTCTCCAAAACCATTTGGGAAAGAAGATTGATGATTTACTAAATGAAATCCCGGACGTTTTTAAATTTTGTATCTAAGAAGATTCATAGATTTTAGATGATTGCCTGAATAATATCATCGGTTTATGGTAGAAGCTCATTACATGTCCTTTTATAATCTTAATTCACTGAGAATTTTGATAGATGGACTAACACATATTTTGTTATGAAAATAAAAACTTTTTTTTTCTTTCTTAATGTTTCCAAGTTCTAATCAAATATGAGGGAATAACTCAGTGCAAGTAGTAAACCAGAGAATATTGAAAATGAAATGATTTGGCAAAACGTCTTTTATTAAATATTGTTCAGAATTAATATTAATTTAATAAAACGATTTGTTTAGGATATACTTATTCTGAAAACAATCTAATACTTGGTAATTAAAATACATAGAATTTCAAAAATACAAAATATGTAGAATTTGAAATACGGTATTTTAATATAATAATTAAAATACTTTTCCATGATCTGATATAAATTAATTTATTAATTTATCAGAATATATAGTTGGTTTATTACAAGAACTC